TTTACCATTTTGAAATCCCAGTCAAAATTACTTCTACAAGTTGGGCATATTCCCCAAAAAGTAGGCTAAATGATATTTACCTGTTGACTATTGCTATTACCGAAAATCACTATCATCATCTCTAAATGTTCACAGAATATAGATGAATGTCTTACAAAGAAACAGATTCTTAAAAGGGTCAGAATGGGGTCCACTCAGAGAATATGAACCCCATAAATTGGATTTCTGGGGCCACTTATTTGATCATATCTATGTAGCCAAAGCTTTTGAAGACACATACAAAATTGTTGCCTCCACGATAAAAAGGATGGGGCAACAAAGGGGGTTTAATAACTTACCAAACACGAAGTGTCCCTCAATGCTTTTCTTTTTCCTGTCACAGAATCAAAGATGGCTGAGAAGCAAGAACCAGCTGAAGATGAGGTGGCTGCAACCCTCCCAGGAGCCCCTGCTGCTCAGTCTTCAAGCTCAGAATCCCCCATAGTGTACCTGAAGGATGTCGTGTGCTACCTGTCCCTGCTGGAGACAGGGAGACCTCAGGATAAGCTGGAGTGTAAGTGCTCACCCTGTCAAGGGCTTCAGCTTTTTCCTAGAGGAAGATCTGGGGTCCTGTCCATTATTCTCAAACACACTGGAGAGTGATCTGGGATCAAGGTTTTGGATCCTGCCTCTTTGGGGGAGGTTTCTTTGTCCTGTCACCAGCAGTGATACGAACATCTTTTCCTAGAATCCACCTGAGAACTAGTGTCATATAAAGTGGGAAGAGCATCTAAGACCTAGGCATTGAGAACTAGAATTTGAAAAAGGAAAGGGGTCTCATCAAGAGGTCAAGGTCTCACCCAGGATCAAGACTTCCTTGCTTTGCTAGCAGAGCTTCCTGAAAGCCTCCAATCAGAAAGCTGCTGACTCCTCTTAATGGATTTTTCAAGGAAAGATATCCAACATCTGTCCTCCTTCCCCTATTCTGTGCCCAAGCAATGTTTTACCTATGAGGATTTCTTATTTTCTTGAGATTTAATCAACCTCTATCTTGTTAATGCTTTTTCCATTTCTCCTCCCAACCCCCACCGCAAGCTCTTTGGCCTCTAGAGAAAGAGGGCTAGTTAATTAATGGAGATGAGCTTGGTTTTATGGTGCTACTAAAGTTGGTTTCAAAAACATATCTTCCAGGAAAAAGTAAAAGCTGGTAGCAGAAAGGAAAGTTCGCAGAGGCTGAAACAGCCTGCAGTCTTGTAGATGGCTCGGTCCAGGGATGGTTTCGCTGACCTCTGTGAGCCTACAGGCATACTTTTTAAAATAGAAGATGATAGAACCTTGTTTAAAATTTTGTATTGTCTTTGCTTCTCTTGGGAACTTAAGTAAAGAAAAAAATGCACATTATAGCAAAAGTCAAAATTCCAGTTAATAATAAGACTAGTCAACAACAAAACTTAAACATTAGCCAGGCAAGTCTGCCAAACGTTAACTCTCGCCAAAAACAAAATGAAACAGTTCGCTCATTAGCTGAGCTTCAAATCTCCCCCATAGGTTTGAGGTGTTAACAATTGCAAATCTTAAGTGCTAATTTGGTAGCAAATGTAGCAGATTTCTGTTTTCTTCTGGCTAATGTTAAAAGTGAAATGTCAAATTATTTTCAACATTTAGCTGGATTTTGAGTTTTAGGCATTATATTTGTTAATAACTAACAAAGAGAGTGTGGCGGATTCTTTATATTAGTGACTCTCAGACTGAGTTTGTACTGACAATGAAAAGACACTTTAAAACTTTTTATTATAGAAAATTTCAAAGATAGGTAAAAGTAGAGGGTACAATGAACTTCCATGGCCCCATCAACCAGCTTCAACAACTATCGACTCCTGGTCAATCTTGTGGTGTCTATACCTCCCACCCATTCCCTCTGCCTCAGGGTATTTTGAAGGAAATTCCAAGCATCATATAATTTTATCTGTAAATATTTCAGTATATACCTCTAAAATCACAGACTCTTTTTTTTAATATAACCACAACACCATTATCATAGCTAAAGAAAATTATTCCTTAATATTATCAAATATTCAGTCAATATCCACATTTTCCCAATTATCTTAGATATTTTTTGTTTGTTTGAATCGGGATCCTAATGAAGTACATAGATTGCCATTGGTTATTATGTCTCTTTACTCTCTTTTAATCTTTTGCTAATTCTTTCCCTATAATTTTTTGTTGCAGCAACTTGGTCATTGGTCCTATAGATTTTTCATTTTGGTTTGGTTTGTCTTTTACTAAACCAAATCAATTTAAATCCTTCCCCTTAATTTTAATGATTGAAAACAAGTTAAGCTTTTCTTTTTCAAAACCCAGCATTCGAGTGCCTGTGTGTGTGTTTTTTTGTTGTTGTTGTTCTTTTTAAATAATAGCCTGAAATCCCACCTATTGCCAATGCAATAATAACAATGATAACTCTCGTCATTAAAAACCTTATATTTGCTAAACACTTTAAATGTATTGTCTCATTTTAACCTCACAATAACCCTAAAAGGTTGATATGATTATTCTCATTTTACGCATCAGAAAACACAGGAAGGTTTAAAGACTTGCCCAAGGCCACACTTCTAAAAAATAGAATTCTTTCTAGTTCTATTGTTCATACACAGTAGGCCTGGAGAGAGGTCAGCGTTAGAGAGCTGACTAGGCCCAGAGCCCTGGAACAATGCTAGTAGGAAAGGCTGTCCTTCTTTCCGTCATTCGGCCATCTGTTCAGTGAGTCAGCAGGACGTGCTGCGCGTCTCTGACATTCCGATCGGAAGCCCACGGAACCTGCTTAGACTTCAACCAGGGACACACCACTGAAAAAACACCAGGCGCAAAGATAGTGAAACATCTAGAAGGAACTGACAACACCGGGGCAGCTCAGCAGGAATAATGTGACAAGGTAGGCACATGCTGAGAGGCCTGATGGGGCGTGTCAGGGAAGGACCAGTTGGAAGAGGTCCCCAGAGAAAGCAGACATGATGATGGGTTTTAAAGAACAGGAGGAAAATGAAGAAATGTTTCTCTCTGCTACCCACCCTGCTTACTTCTGAGACCAGACAGATCTCTGCCTTTTGGTTGAATGAAATACAGGTTTCCAGGTCCCATAAATGAACATTTGTCCCTTGTCCAAATTTCTCTCCCAGACCTTCCTTATCCCACATCACCTCCCTGCAGGTAGAACATGATCAAAGATGTTTCTGAATAGTATATTGACACTTCAGGGGAAAAAAAATAATAGCTTCTGTGGTAGTAACTACCTCATCGCATTATTAGAGATTGAGAAATAATGATAAAGTGCATAGGACAGTGCCTTGTATCTATTAAATGCTCTATGTAAATGTTT